TTAAGGACCACATGGACTGGGGATAAGGAGTTTCCCCAAAGGAAGGGGTGCTGGCTGACTAGTACCATATGTCCATCACAGAGGTGCTTTGTGGGAGGGGTAGAAGAGATAAAAAAAAATATCTCTTTTATAAGATTCCTTATAGACATAATTGTGTTTGAATCCTTTCAGTGATAGGGTGCCTTCCTCATAGGATGGCCAGTGCTCTGTTGGACAATTCAGCCTAGTAAAAAGCCCTTCTCTATGTTTAGCTGAAACCTTCCTCCCATAACTTTAATTCATTTTAGTTTTTCCCCTAATAACAAGGCAACACAAATACACTCTTCCAATGCATTATGCAATCTTAGAGATTTCAACGGCCTCATGCTTCTGAGGAGATGAAATATTTTCATCTTTCATTTTACAGAAGACGTAACTGATGTTGACTGAGGTGATGTCGCTTGCCTGAGTTAGGCCAGCTGGGGTTCCTGCACCCCTAGAGACAGGCTCTACTCACTGCCTGTCTTGGTCCGTTGACTCTGCTCTCATCCACCACTTGACATGTAGAACACATAAGGAACTGTTGAATGAACAAACAGTGCTCGGAGTGGCTCACTTTGATGCCTTTCCAGCATGAAGGCCATGTTTAGCATGGTGACACTTTTCTCATATTGAGGGCCTTCACTGGCCTCTGACTGATAATAAATACTGTGTATCAATTAGAGTTCCTTGTTGCAAACAACAGAAACTGACTCCAGCTGATTTAACAAAAAAAAGAACTAATTAAAGAAAACTGGGAAACCCATAGAATCACCAGGAGGGCTGGCAAAGTAGCTGAGGCTACAGCGCAAGCTCACCATTCCCAATCAAGCCTCGGGCTGGTCTGGTGACAGTCAAACCCTCTGCCCAGACATCACCTGGGGGCACCAGACTCTGGGAGCTGCTGCTGCTGCTGGCTATGCCATTCTCCAGCACCTGCTTCTGCATCTGGAACTTCATAATGTTGGATCTGCCACTTTCATGCTACCTACCTCTCGGGGCATGGAGACTAGAGGGCAGGTGTCAGCTGGCTGAGCCTGAGTCACATCCCCACACTCCAGCTGGAAAAACAAATATCTGACTTTTACCAAGTGGAGAATCACCCAAATTGAAAAAGGAGTTCAGACCTTGGGCAGCCAAAACGCTGACATATAGCCACCCACCCTGTCTCCTCTGAGCTTCTTTTTCGTTGGACAGACATGTTCTCTTCCTTTATCCTACGTTCATGGAGGAGGCCTCTAGATCCTTTACCAACCTGTCATTAATATTTGTTCCTAGAATTGAAAGTAATTCTATAAATCGGGTCTGACAAGCCCAAGGTACAATGAGATTATTTCTTTCCATATCCTGACCCTTAACTTCCATTAATGCATCATAAGATTTCATTACTTTTCTAGGCAGCCATACTACATTGACTCATGTTGGCTCATATCGTGCTTATGGGTTGACTGAATTCCCAAGATCTTTTTATATGAAAGGCTGTTAAGCTAGGTCTTCTCAATCATTGACTTATATGATTGACTTATTGAACACGTGCAAATTTAACTGAGTAATATAAAACTGTATTTGTAATACTTCAACTATTTAGTTCACACCCTTAAGTTCCTTTACACTGTAGTACATTTTACTTGGCTACTTCAATCAGAAATTGCAAACGAGTGGCCCTGTGGGCCAATTTGGCCACACATTCATTTTATTTGGCTAATATGGTGTTTTTGGAGAGCTGAATTGGTTGCCAATTGTTGAACATCAGGAGATTTTACATGAAAAGCAGGCCTTTTGAAAAGTAGAAAGTTCTGGCAGTACTGGGCCTTCATATCCTCTGGGCAGTGTGTGATTGGCTGAGGCTGAGTAGTAATTACCCCTTTGAGAGGTGCAGGCACAGCTCACTGCAGCCCCACAATGCTCTATCTAGCCCTGCTTCATTCATTTCCATGCCCTGCCCAGCCTGTCTGTGTTGTGGGAGTGGGTTCAGGTAGGGGATAAAGGGGGAAAGTAGAAACAGAGGAGGTAAGAGAAAGGTGGGTTTCAGTAGCCTTGTGTTTGCTCTTGTGTGGCTCTAGTTGTACATAATAGAGAGGGAAAGGAAGGATGGAGGGATGGTTCTGGCCTGGGATGGGCATCTGTTATTCTATTGGCCCCGTGTGTGACTTGTTCTGGAAACCCTAACTTCTCCTTCTGTGTGACTCCTGAGGGTGCTGCCAGGTTTCAGATGATCCTGCTCCTGTGGCTAGTGCACACTGGTCTAGAGAGTGACCATCTGGGCCAAGCTAGGTTGATAGGGTTTTAAACTTCCAGCCTGTGACAATGTCAGAAGAGTGCCTTTTATTAGTGTCTGGAGCCCTGGATGAAATGCTTCTGGAGCTTTGATCATGTTTCTTATCATGTGGGCTGGGAAGTAGAAGCAGCTGGTGCAAGAGAGGGATGGAGCATGTCATCACATAGAGAAAGGTGGCAAGGAGGACACACTGGGGGCTGTCTGCAGTAATCTAGCCTAGCTCTCAGCCAGGAGTCCTGATTCATTCTGCTCCTTTGAAAACTTAGCTAAAGTTGATTTCCGTTGCTCACAACCAAAAGTACCCAGGACCTGTCATCACAGTCAGCCCTGCTCTCTGCCAGCCCTCCCAGTGTCTGAGGGCTTCCCCTTCAGGCTCCCCCTTGTGTCCTGTGTCCATGCCACTTGCTTTTGGGTCAAACATTCTGGGTCTTTTTGAAAATTCCCCTTTGTTGTTTCTGAGCCAGGGTGGAAGAGTAAAAGGAGGATAATGTGAAGGCATTTCTGTGCCTAGGAGGTGCATCCTCTTACTCTGGCACTCCCAGGAAGTCTGCTCCCAGGTTCCGGTTCGCCAGGCAGCTTGGGGATGCCTTCCACCTCACACAGTTGCCAGTGCTGGTGTGAATACATATCGAAATCCACACTACTGAGGGATGTCCACGAAGCGGGTCGGGAAGGTCTTTTGCTGCCATCAGTAGCAAAGTTTTCAGGAATTGGCAGCCTGATATGAGCTCAGGAGACTTGGAAATGAGATGCTAAGATTTGTGTGTTCAAATCAGCATTAGGTGTTGGATTATTCTGAGACCATTGTTCATTAACTTAACAAACGTTTATTGAGAACCTACTATGTACCTATCCACTGCCCGAGGCACAGGAGATATCACAGTGCAAAAATGTGTAGCTTATAGGGAGCTTATATTCTAATGGAATATAATCTTTTCTATGCGTTAGGTTCTGGATATACAAAATCTAACGAAATTCAGCCTCAATGATTTCATAACTGAAAGTCCCACTTTCCTCACATGTACAATGAGGTTAAAATAATTTATAGGATCGTTTAGAGGATTCTATAAAATAATGCATAGGCACATTCTTGGCATTTAAGCCTCAGCAAATATTACTTCCCCACTGAAAAGTTAAAAAAAAGTTACACTCAACTTCACAAACCACCAGTTAAGTTAACCTGCTAGACCGGCCCTGAACGCCTCTTCTGACGTTGGCCCTGGCAACAGCAAACTACCTGGCGTCGTTGTAGCACGCAGCGGGTGGACCACGGTTTGTGCTGGGCGCCTGTGGGACTTCGGCATGCTGGGAACACAAAGTGGCCACGAGGGGGCAGCGCACTGCAGGGAATCTTTGCAGTCGACCCCAGCCCACCGCCAAACTTCCCGGCTGCTCCCGGTCCTCCGTACGTACTTCCGTTCCTCTGACGCTCGCAGAAGCGTTGGCGTCGGGAAGGAGAGGCCGAATTTCCCCCTCCTCTGCTCCTCCCGAGGAAAAATTGCAGCGGGGTTCACGAGACGGAGCCGCAGTGGGTGCTGGGGTCCCCCGCACTGCGCCGGCCAGGGCGCGGCGCGGAGCCGGGTGCCCTGTGCGAGGCCGCGGGTCTGGCGGGCAGCGGCGCGAGCCTCCGACCCTCGACTCCAGGGAGGGCGGGCAGCCGCCGGGTGGAACCCGAGCCGGCCCCGGGCACCTCCGCCAACCCCAGCGCCTCCCCGTCCTGCTTCGCGGGGCGACCCCGCACCCACATCCGCAGCTCCGGGGTTGTCACTTCTGCGCGCCGCCTGGAAAGGGGACCAGACCGTAAGCGCTCCGGGGAGTTGTCGAGGAGGATGCCCGGGTGTTGGCTATGTCCCCAAGCTGCTCGCCAGCGCTGGCAAGGAAGGCAGTCAGGATAACACCGCCCAAACTTCCCTTTGCGGCAGCGTGGGGAGGAAACATCCCAGCCTGAGGCTCACGGAGAGTGGAAGGGAAGACTTGGGACGCCCGGAGGGGACCGGGCCCAGCCTGCGCAGAGGGGCACGCTCGGAGTTCTTGGGAGCACTGTAGGTGCCTTAAGGGGCAGGACTAGTCGCCCGCGTGCGCCTGGGCAAAGGGAGGTCCAGCTGGCGCTGCGGCTCCATTCCTGCGCCCCTCAGGGACCGTGACCTTCGCGCTTTCCGCACACGTGCTCCCGGCCGAGGAAGAGGAAGGTCTGGCTAGACCCGCTGTGGGCAGCGACTCGTAGGCGGGCCCAGGGCGCATGGAGGCGCCTTGCGGGCGGTGCGGCTCAGCAGCAGTGCGGGGGAGCGCTCAAGCTGCGCCTCAGGCTCCCTGGGGACCCCACCGTCTACTCCCCGCGGTTCCTGCTGCGGGGCTCTCGGCCGCGGGTGGCTACTTCCAGCGCAAAGCCGCCTAAGTGTCGTGCCCCGCGGAGTCCCTGGACTCCTGCGTGCGGTGTACCCGCGGCGTCACAGGTGTAGCCGGCAGCCGCGCGCGCCGCGCTCTGAAGAACTGGTGGGCTCTGCTGGCGGAGAGTTGGCTCTCGGGTCTCGGAACTCTGGTCCCCGCCACGCAGGCCGGTCGGCGCGCCACTTTGCACCGCCGCCGGGGTGAGGAAAGTCCTGGCGGAGCCTGGCTTCCCGGCGGCCGCCCGGGAGCCATCCTGATGCCCGCTGTCCGCGGTGGGCCCCGCTC